GTCTCAAAGAAAATCATTAGTAACACACTACGCCTTCATGGATTAAAATCCTGCAGCGCACGCAAGGTCCCCCTGCTCAAGCCAGCGCATGTCCAGGCCCGTCTGAAGTTTGCCAATGACCATCTGGATGATCCAGAGGAGGAATGGGAGAAGGTCATGTGGTCTGATGAGACAAAAATATAGCTTTTTGGTCTAAACTCCACTCGTGTTTGGAGGAAGAAGAAGGATGAGTACAACCCCAAGAACACCATCCCAACCGTGAAGCATGGAGGTGGAAACATCATTCTTTGGGGATGCTTTTCTGCAAAGGGGACAGGATGACTGCACCGTATTGAGGGGAGGATGGATGGGGCCATGTATCACGAGATCTTGGCCAACAACCTCCTTCCCTCAGTAAGAGCATTGAAGATGGGTCGTGGCTGGGTCTTCCAGCATGACAACGACCCGAAACACACAGCCAGGGCAACTAAGGAGTGGCTCCGTAAGAAGCATCTCAAGGTCCTGGAGTGGCCTAGCCAGTCTCCAGACCTGAACCCAATAGAAAATCTTTGGAGGGAGCTGAAAGTCCGTATTGACCAGCGACAGCCCCGAAACCTGAAGGATCTGGAGAAGGTCTGTATGGAGGAGTGGGCCAAAATCCCTGCTGCAGTCTGTGCAAACCTGGTCAAGACCTACAGGAAACGTATGATCTCTGTAATTGCAAACAAAGGTTTCTGTACCAAATATTAAGTTCTGCTTTTCTGATGTATCAAATACTTATGTCATGCAAGAAAATGCAAATTAATTAATTAAAAATCATACAATGTGATTTTCTGGATTTTTGTTTTAGATTCCGTCTCTCACAGTTGAAGTGTACCTATGATAAAAAATTACAGACCTCTACATGCTTTGTAAGTAGGAAAACCTGCAAAATCGGCAGTGTATCAAATACTTGTTCTCCCCACTGTATATATATGTCTTATCATCAGGTGAATGATAATGGCAAGTAGAAGTATTTCATTTGGAATCAATAAAATGTATAGATTTGGTAGACAGTTTCATTATTTTGACCTCCCAACAGTTGATGGGAGAGGAAGTGTAAACTCTAACATAGCCTATTAGCTAGAAAGGTATCTTGCCAGTGGAGAGAAAATGTTGCTGTTGTAAAGAAAATGTCCTGCGATTATATTTTTTATTTTTTTATCCATTGAGCTGAGAGAAAATATTGCAGATTTGAAGGACATTTTCAGCACTTCTATACAGTTTGGCATGGAGTTGAGAGACAATTTTGCAGGTTTAAAGCTAATTTCCTGCTATTGTATGCATTTTTCCATGGCTAATGCTGTGTTCCTCTGCTCAAACATTATAACAAAATCAATGGGCCTTGAATGCCATTTTATTATTTTTTATTTTATTTTTCTGACTGTCTAGCTTTTATTTGATAGTTAGTTCTCAAAGATGGTATTATTAAAATATATATATACAGTATAGTTCAATATCTTTTCTGCATGCTTTCTATCTGGTTTTGATCGTTTAAGTTGACCCTGGAACTGTTTTTCCATCCCGAAAATTACCACTAAGATGGCTCGCCTAAAAAAATTATATACAGAAAAAACCCTGTAATTAGCTCCAATGACTGTAATTTCCTCCATATTAAAGGGATAGTTCGAGATTTTGGTAATGAAGAGTCGTATGAACAGGAACAGCTAGCATGCTAACTGTTCCTGTAGTATTACTGTAGACTTCCAGTCAACGCTAGTTAGCATTGGTTCACGAAACTACCTCTAACTTCCTTCATACTGGACGCAGAGACATAAAAGTATCCACGATGGTATTCTGTTATAGCTAGCGATATTCATAAAAATCATTATTTCCCCCATTAAAAAACCCAATAAAATATTTTTCCCAAAATAAATTAAAAACATTGCGTTACCTCAGATCCCAGTGATTTAATATCCAAATTAAACACATTATCACTTGGCTCTACCTTCAAGTACACAAAATGTGGAAACATAATGGTGATAACTTGGTGAGCCCTTCCCTCTACTGGCCAGTTAAACACATTGCACTATACTGACAGACCACCAACATACAGTAAGTAGGCCTTTTTCTGACAGAAATGTTTATTTGGCTGAGTCCCACCTCTGGTTTTAGACCTGTAGGGCCTATGTTTGCTTGTTAGTATCTGGAATAATATTGGAAAAAGAAGCACAGGAATTAGTAGGAATTTGTCCAGCTTATTGGTAAGTTATATATACCGGAGTTGGGGTCAATTCCATTTCAATTCCAGTCAATTCAGAAAGTTAACCAAATTCCAATTCCAAATTTACCTAATTGAAAAGCATTGAAGAGAATTGGAATATCAGTGTACTACTTCCTGAATTGACTCACAGGGATGCTGACCCATGTTGACTCCAATGATTCCAACTTGTGTCAAGTTGGCTGGATGTCCTTTGGGTGGTGGACCATTCTTGATACACACGGGAAACTGTTGAGTGTGAAAAACCCAGCAGCGTTGCAGTTCTTGACCCACTCAAACCGTTGCACCAATACCATAACCCCTTCAAAGGCACTTAAAACTTTTGTCTTGCCCATTCATCCTCTGAATGTCACACATACACAATCCATGTCTCAATTGTCTCTAGGCTTACAAAAATACTTATTTAACCTGTCTCCTCCCCTTCATCTACATGGATTGAAGTGGATTTAACAAGTGACATCAATAAGGGATCATAGCTTTCACCTTGATTCACCTGGTCAGTCTATGTCATGGAAAGAGCAGGTGTTCATAATATTTACACTCAAATCAAATCCAATCAAACTTTATTTACGCAGCACATTTCAGACATGGAATGCAACACAATGTGCTTCACAAAAACAATGAAAATAAAAAAGGAAATGTTTACTACACAACAAACATGAGGATATAAAACAAAATAATAACAATACAAACTGAAGGACTAAAAAGCACCCTAAGGAAAAGCAAAACTAAAAAAGTATGTTTTAAGATCTCTTTTAAAAATGTCCACAGTTTAGGCCCCCCACAGGTTCTCTGGCAGGCTATTCCAGAGGCTGGGGGCATAGTAACTAAAGACTGCCTCTCCATGCCTCTTGGTCCTAGGCTTTGGGATAGTTAAAAGGCCAATGCAAGAGGACCTGAGGGACCTACTGGGTATATAACTTAAAAGCATGTCTGACATGTATTGGGGTGCACAATCGTGGATTGATTTAAAAACCAATAGAATAATCTTAAATGTAATTCTACAACTCACAGGCAGCCAATGCAGAGACCTTAAAACCGGTGTAATATGTGCTCTCCGTCTGGTCTTGGTCAGTACCCGTGCTGCAGCATTCTGTATGTTTTGCAGTTGACCAATGGCTTTCTTGGGTAGACCAGACAGGAGAGCATTACAGTAGTCAAGCCTGCTTGTAATAAAAGCATGGATGAGTCTCTGTATCAGCCAGTGTATACAGTCATTGATTGGTACAGTTCATAAGTGACCTTACAGATGTGGACACGTGCGGCCTTTCTCTCAAGAACTTCCATTGCCACTGGCTGACAGATAATGTGTTACTACAGCGTATATGATCATGCCCAGACAATAGGTGATGATGCTACACTACAGTATTGGTTGTATTATGGAAAGGAAGGTCTGGCTGGAGATAAAGATGCCACCAGTCACTGGGATCTTCCACGGCTTGGTTGATTTGATTTTCTGACCCTTCTGGGCTGACCTGCCAGTACAACCCGTTTTCTTCTCCATGTTTTTGATGACGCCAACAGCAACAGTCTGCCACATGTCCCGGACAGCAAAACGACCTGTTTGCACACAAAGATAAGCAATGCACGCAAGCACGCACACACAGTGAAACAGATATTACTCATATTGTTGTTTAACATCACAATAATGTTAACTTTCACAACGATTCTATTGGCTCCTCATCCTTAGTATTTAACATTGTTTCAGTATTCTGCTCTTGTCTTGCATGAGCTCTGATACTAAGCAGGCCTGTTGAAACCCAGCCATGCAAAAGGCTGCTTGTACCCAGGTACCACTCACAAACAGTACTCCCTCACTCCACCATTCTGGGCCTAACACACATGGGAGGCCACAAAACAGTCGTTTCACAGAGGACTGTGATTTCACGCTTCAAAAACACATGCAATTATTTCCTCCATTGTTTGCACACAGAACCGCGGCAAATATTTCCAATCAGGTCCAGAGAAATCCACCAAACCACTCCCTGGACTGCGGTATGTTACTACCTCACAATCATCAGAGAGAGAGAGAGAGAGAGAGAGAGAGAGAGAGAGAGAGAGTGTTTGAGATGAACCAGATGTCCAAGGGGGCTTCACCTTGGTGTGTGTAACCAAAACAGCCTCCCTTATGGAACTAGAACAAGATGTGGAAGACTTCACACACAAAAGGTGGATTCTTACAAGTACATCAGTCCCTGAGATTTGATTACAACCAATGTATTGACCACACATGGGCTGCAGAGGGACGTGAACGAATTAGAGGGCAGCTAGCCAAGCAAGTCTGGAAGAGGGAGGTATATGCATAGAAATATTGTCTCCCGAGTGGCGCAGTGGTCTAAGGCACTGCATCGCAGTGCTAGCTGTGCCACTAGAGATCCTGGTTAGAATCCAGGCTCTGTCGTAGCCGGCTGTGACCGGGAGACCCATGGGGCGGCGCACAATTCGTCCAGGGTAGGGGAGGGAATGGCTGGCAGGGATGTAGCTCAGTTGGTAGAGCATGGCGTTTGCAACGCCAGGGTTGTGGGTTCGATTCCCACGGGGGGCCAGTATGAAAAATAAAAAAAGAATGTATGCACTCACTAACTGTAAGTCGCTCTGGATAAGAGTGTCTGCTAAATGACTAAAATGTAAATAGAATCCTGCTGAGGACAGTGGATGTTAGTTAGGCTGAACAGTTACGGTTACCAGGTGGATGTATACTAACCCTGGGGTGGGTATTTGGAGAAGCTCTCCACACACATGGGCACCCAGGAACCATCTATACAATGACAGCATCCCCAGACATCAGGGCCTTGGGGTTGTCTTCCATCTTTTTCACAGAGCGGCGGATTATCTTCTCTCTGAGCTCAGCGAACTTACAGGCGATCGTGTGGCAGTCAATGACCGGGGAATAGCCTGCACTGGGTGGCTCAGGATAATCACCTGAGAGAGGGAGAGACAGAGAGAACAAATTAATTCATGTAAATAGGTCAATGAAATATTTATACCAGGCTTTAGTACTGCATGTGTCTGAGATGTCCAGAGGGATGACCTTTGACCCTGACCTGTGAACCCAGTGGCCTCTTGGGGCGGGTCAGACTTGCTGTCCCCACACATGTTCCCTCTGCGGATGTCCTTCACAGATACAGTGCATTCGGAAAGTATTCAGACCCCTTGACTTTTTCCACATTTTGTTACGTTACAGCCTTATTCTAAAATGGATTAAATAAAAAATGTCCCTCATCAATCTACACACAATACCCCATAATGTCAAAGCGAAAACAGGTTTTTAGACATTTGAGCAGATTTATTAAAAATAAAAAACAGAAATACCTTATTTACAAAAGTATTCAGACACTTTGCTATGAGACTCGAAACCGAGCTCAGGTGCATCCTGTTTCCATTGATCATCCTTGAGATGTTTCTACAACTTGATTGGAGTCCACCTGTAGTAAATTAAATTGATTGGACATGATTTGGAATGGCACACACCTGTCTATATAAGGCCCCACAGTTGCATGTCAGAGCAAAAACCAAGCCATGATGTTGAAGAAATTGTCTGTAGAGCTCCGAGACAGGATTGTGTCGAGGCACAGATCTGGGGAAGGGTCCCAAAAAATGTCTGCAGCATTGAAGGTCCCCAAGAACACAGTGGCCTCCATCATTCTTAAATGAAAGAAGTTTGGAACCAACAAGACTCTTCCTAGAGCTGGCTGCCTGGCCAAATTGAGCAATAGGGGGAGAAGGGCCTTGGTCAGGGAGGTGACCAAGAACCCGATGGTCACTCTGACAGAGCTCCAGAGTTCGTCTGTGGAGATGGGAGAACCTTCCAGAAGGACAACCATCTCTGCAGCACTCCACCAATCAGGCCTTTATAGTAGAGTGGCCAGACGGAAGCCACTCCTCAGTAAAAGGCACATGACAGCCCACTTGGAGTTTGCCAAAAGGCACCTAAAGGACTCTCAGACCATGAGAAACAAAATGATCAGGGTCTGATGAAACCAAGATTGAACTCTTTGGCCTGAATGCAATCGTGGCGTCTGGAGGAAATTTGGCACCATCCTTACGGTGAAGCATGGTAGTGGCAGCATCATGCTTTGGGGATGTTTTTCAGCGGCAGGGACTGGGAGACTAGTCAGGATTGAGACAAAGATTAACAGAGAAAAGTACAGAGAGATCCTTGATGAAAACCGGCTCCAGAGCCCTAAGGACCTCAGACTGGGACGACGGTTCACCTTCCATCAGGACAACGACCTTAAGCACACAGCTAAGACAACGCATGAGTGGCTTCAGCTCAAGTCTCTGAATGTCCTTGAGTGACACAGCCAGAGCCCGGACTTGAACCCGATATATCACCTCTGGAGAGACCTAAAAATAGCTGTGCCGCGACGCTCCCCATCCAACCTGACAGAGATTGAGAGGATCTGCAGAGAAGAATGGGAGAAACTCCCCAAATACAGGTGTGCCAATCTTGTAGCGTCATATCCAAGAAGACTCAAGGTTGTAATCGCTGCCAAAGGTGCTTCAACAAAGTACTGAATAAAGGGTCTGAATACTTATGTAAATGTCATATGTCTAAAAACCTGTTTTTGCTTTGTCATTATGGGGTATTGTGTGTAGATTGATGAGGGGGAAAAACGATTTAATCTATTTTAGAATAAGGCTGTAACATAACAAAATGTGGAAAAAGTGAAGGGGGGTGGGTGCAAATCAATATTAGGAAGTGTTCTTAATGTTTTGTACACTCAGTATATATACAGTGAGGGAAAAAAGTATTTGACCCCCTGCTGATTTTGTACGTTTGCCCACTGACAAAGACATGATCAGTCTATAATTTTAATGGTAGGTTTATTTGAACAGTGAGAGACAGAATAACAACAAAAAATCCAGAAAAACGCATGTCAAAAATGTTATAAATTGATTTGCATTTTAATGAGGGAAATAAGTATTTGACCCCTCTGAAAACATGACTTAGTACTTGGTGGCAAAACCCTTGTTGGCAATCACAGAGGTCAGATGTTTCTTGTAGTTGGCCACCAGGTTTGCACACATCTCAGGAGGGATTTTGTTCCACTCCTTTTTGCAGATCTTCTCCAAGTCATTAAGGTTTCGAGGCTGACGTTTGGCAACTAGAACCTTCAGCTCCCTCCACAGATTTTCTATGGGATTATGGTCTGGAGACTGGCTAGGCCACTCCGGGACCTTAATATGCTTCTTCTTGAGCCACTCCTTTGTTGCCTTGGCCGTGTGTTTTGGGTCATTGTCATGCTGGAATACCCATCCACGACCCATTTTCAATGCCCTGGCTGAGGGAAGGAGGTTCTCACCCAAGATTTGACGGTACATGGCCCCGTCCATCGTCCCTTTGATGCAGTGAAGTTGTCCTGTCCCCTTAGCAGAAAAACACCCCCAAAGCATAATGTTTCCACCTCCATGTTTGACGGTGGGGATGGTGTTCTTGGGGTCATAGGCAGCATTCCTCCTCCTCCAAACACGGCGAGTTGAGTTGATGCCAAAGAGCTCCATTTTGGTCTCATCTGACCACAACACTTTCACCCAGTTCTCCTCTGAATCAGTCAGATGTTCATTGGTAAACTTCAGACGGCCCTGTATATGTGCTTTCTTGAACAGGGGGACCTTGCGGGCGCTGCAGGATTTCAGTCCTTCACGGCGTAGTGTGTTACCAATTGTTTTTTTGATGACTATGGTCCCAGCTGCCTTGAGATCATTGACAAGATCCTCCCATGTAGTTCTGGGCTGATTCCTCACCGTTCTCATGATCATTGCAACTCCACGAGGTGAGATCTTGCATGGAGCCCCAGGCCGAGGGAGATTGACAGTGCTTTTGTGTTTCTTCCATTTGCGAATAATCGCACCAACTGTTGTCACCTTCTCACCAAGCTGCTTGGCAATGGTCTTGTAGCCCATTCCAGCCTTGTGTAGGTGTACAATCTTGTCCCTGACATCCTTGGAGAGCTCTTTAGTCTGGGACCTGGGAGCCAGAAATCTTTCTAATTGAGAGGGGGTCAAATACTTATTTCCCTCATTAAAATGCAAATCAATTCATAACATTTTTGACATGCGTTTTCCTGGATTTTTTTGTTGTTATTCTGTCTCTCACTGTTCAAATAAACCTACCATTAAAATTATAGACTGGTAATTTCTTTGTCAGTGGGCAAACGTACAAAATCAGCAGGGGATCAAATACTTTTTTCCTTCACTGTATATTTATTTCCGGGGGCGTACAACAGGAGGGCCACGGGCTGCATGTGACCCGCCAGTTGCCCATCCCTGCGAGAGTAACCTATTACTTCTGTTTAGTGTTAGAGTAGCAACTCTACCTCGTATCTTGTAGACGTCTTGCAGGGGCAGGCGGAGGGTTTTGTCTGTGGGCCGTGTCGGAGGCATGACGGTGTCTAGAGCCTCCAGGAGACTCACCCCGTTGGCATGGTGCTCCTTCCTGTCCAGCGTCCAGCTTTTGAACCAAGGCATCTGGACAGAGTGACAACACAGAGTAACAACATAGATTTCTGTGTGATGAATTTGTTTGGAAGTTGGTGTATCAGTTGATTGAGCAACAGGAAAATGCATTTTATATGGGCAGGAGGCCATCTTGTGGAGCATTGAGGAACTACATACTGTCTAGGGACTATAGCTTTGAGAATAGACCGGGAGTTCAGGACAACCAATGTTTTAATGCTAAATAAAATAGTTAACACAATGTGATGTAATTCAGGCCTATAGACAATACTCACATTTGGGGAGGGCTCCAGCATGTTGTCCTCATGCCAACCGGAGATTGGCATAAAGGGCACAGCATTGGGGTTGTAGCCAATCTTCTTGATGTAGGCACTGACTTCCTTTACTATCTCATCATAGCGCTTCTCACTCTAGAGCGGCTCTGTGGAGTCCATCTTGTTGAGCCCTACAATGAGCTGCTTGACCCCCAGAGTGTAGGACAGGAGGGCATGCTCCCTCGTCTGACCGTTCTTGGAGATGCCCGCTTCAAACTCTCCCACTCCAGCTGCCCCATGATCAGCACGGCACAGTGCGCCTGTACAACACTGCAGGCATGGGGATTATTCAGGCTCAGTGACATCAATGAGTTTGGGTTTAGAAGAATGGTTAGGGTGAGGATGAGGAATGGTAACATTAAGGTGAAGGTTTTAACCTCCTTACCTGGGAGGTTCCTGTGATCATGTTGTTGATGAAGTCTCTGTGCCCTGGGGCGTCAATGATAGTAATGTAATCCACTGAGTGTACAAAACATTAGGAACAACCTTCCTAATATTGAGTTGCACCCCCTGTTGCCCTCAGAAAAGCCTCAATTCATCGCAGCATTAACTCTAAAAGGTGTTGGAAGCGTTCCACATCTTGACTCCAATGATTCCAACTTGTGTCAAGTTGGCTGGATGGCCTTTGGGTGGTGGACCATTCATGATACACACGGGAAACTGTTGAGTGTGAAAAACCCAGCAGCGTTGCAGTTCTTGACACACTCAAACCGGTGCGCCTGGCACCTACTACCGTACCATGTTCAAAGGCACTTAAATATTTTGTCTTGCCCATTCACCCTCTGAATGGCACACATACACAATCCATGTCTCAACTGTCTCAAGGCTTAAAAATCCTTCTTTAACCTGTCTCCTCCCCATCATCTACACTGATTGAAGTGGATTGAACAGGTGACATCAATAAAGAACCATAGCTTTTACCTGGATTCACCTAATCAGTCTACAATACATTACCAAAAGTATGTGGACACCTGCTCGTCAACATCTCATTCCAAAATTATGTGTATTAATATGGAGTTGGTCCCCCGTTTGCTACTATAACAGCCTCCATTCTTCAGGGAAGGCTTTCCACTAGATGTTGGAACATTGCTGCGGGGACTTGCTTCCATTCAGCCACAAGCATTAGTGAGGTCAGGCACTGTTTTTGGGCGATTAGGCCTGGCTCGTATTCAGTGTTCCAATTCATCCCAAAGGTGTTCGATGGGGTTGAGGTCAGGGCTCTGTGCAGGTCAGTCAAGTTCTTCCACGCCAATCTCAACAAACCATTTTTCGATATGGATCTCGCTTTGTGCACGGGGGCATTGTCATGCTGAAACAGGAATGGGTCTTTCCCAAACAGTTGCCACAAAGTTGGAAGCACAAAATCGTCTAGAATGTCATTGTATGCTGTAGCGTTAAGATTTCCCTTCACTGGAACTAAGGGGCCTAGCCCGAACCATGAAAAACAGCCCCAGACCATTGTTCCTCCTCCACCAAACTTTACTTGGCACTATGCATTCGGACAGGTCGCGTTCTCCTGGCATCCGCCAAACCCAGATTCGTCCGTCGGACTGCCAGATGGTGAAGCATGATTCATCACTCCAGAGAACGCGTTTCCACTGCTCCAGAGTCCAATGGCGGTGAGCTTTACACCACTCCAGCCGACGCTTAGCATTGCGCATGGTGATCTTAGGCTTGTGTGCGGCTGCTCGACCGTGGAAACCCATTTCATGAAGCTCCTGACAAACAGTTCTTGTGCTGACGTTGCTTCCAGAGGCAGTGTTGCAACTGAGGACAGACGATTTTTACGCGCTACGCACTTCAGCACTCGGCGGTCCAGTTCTGTGAGCTTGTGAGGCCTACCACTTCGCGACTGAGCAGTTGTTGCTCCTAGACGTTTCCACTTCACAATATCAGCACTTAGAGTTGATCGGGACAACCCCTTGTTATAATAACAGTGAAGCATAGATGGACAGGCTTCCTCCTCATTGTGTGGTTTAGCAGAGCTGTCAAGCACTGATTATGCAGAGATACTAATCCACACAGGCCTCACCTCTGCAGTCTCTTTCTCAAACTTCTCAGTGGTCCTCTTGTCGATGCCCCCACACTTGTAGATGAGGTGTCCAGTGGTGGTGGACTTCCCTGAGTCCACATGACCAATCACCACAATGTTGATGGGACTTTCTCCTTTCCCATCCTGGAATGTCAGGGGATGGACTGCAGTAGGGGAAAGAATGGATAGTGAACACATCAAACATTACAAATGCTTTTTTTGGTGAAACTTGGTTGAATTATGTGTCTTGCGATAGAGATCCGGGATTTACAAAATGACATTGATTGGCCCAAGGCGGGAGCTATAGTAATTAACTGAAATTAAATTACTGATACTATCTGAGTGCTTCTAAACCTCACTTTGCAGTTGGTCAGTAGGTCATTTAAGGACATTGTGATGCAAGATGTCATGCAAGATGTTAAACAGGGTCATATGAGGACACCAGTGACATCACTGTGTTTATCAGATGCTCTTAGGGATTGAACTGTCATCAAAAGCAATTATGTATTTTTTATATTTTTATTAAAAACATTACACAATATCAGACATTGTGTAATAATTTGCATGTTCTAATCTTATTGGAGAAAGACATTTTAGCATTTCAGTGAAGCATATCTTTAAACTATCATGCTCATCTTTATGCGAATGAAAACACTGATTAGACATGGCAACCCTCAATACGCCACTCAAACGTGAGCCGTAAAAGGCAGGTAAACGCATATTGTCCAGCTTCTTACCTATAGCAGTAGCTGCCGACAGAGAAGACTGCTTACTTCTGCCCTGCTGCTGTTTTGCTTGAAGGAGTTGGCAGAATTGGGCTATGCTGCCCGTTCAATTTGGGCACCCCCTCCCTACCACTTTGGGTACAGCAATGTGGTAGGAGAGATGGAGGGAGAGGCACAGCCTGCAGAGAGGCACTTGTCTGCAGCAGCTCAAAATGGATTAGAGTGGACAGGGAAAACGAGAGAGAGAGAGATTATAGAGATAAAAAGGAGAGGAAAGAGGAGCAATAAGACAGGGAGAGCAGCCAGCAAGAGGAAAAAGAGAGGGGGTGATACCAGATATCATACTGGAAAGAAACTCAAAAAACTGTGTAATTCCTTATTAGTCATGTAAAATCAGTTTTGAATTAGTATCAATTCATTACAATGGTATGGCACACTACAATTAGAGTCCCAACAACCAAACCTACTTAGATATTCTGCTGCAAGTTGATGTGGTATCAAAGATTCATGTGTGGTACAGAGAAGTATGTAGTCACTGGCCTATCACTCTGACAGATACTTGTTCAATAAAAACACAGTCATGTTGCTTAGTAAATGCCTCCCGAGTGAGCACCGGGAAGTTCAGAGCCAAGACATACTAAGGGAAATACTTTTTGGGAGATATCAATGAACAAATACTACACATCATAACACTCCATTAGAGTACACTGTTGAATTAATAAACCATTCACAAACTTAGTCAAAACTCATATTTAATGGGAATTATGCCTTAAAATGGAATAGGTCAAATAAATAGACAAAAAACGAATAAATCTCACATGGAAGGATACTACAGCTACACCTACACATCGTTTTATTTTATTCTGAAAAGTCAGTCATTGAGACAGACAGAAAAATACATTTGAGCAATTACCAAAAAATGCAGATTCGATAATCCCTAAGGACAAAATTACGTAAAACAATTACTGTAGAAAAAAGGGGGAATTAACCAACATTTTGCACCACTGGCAACTACAGTTTATACAGATATAACGAGGCACAATGACAATCTGGTTGGCAATAACTGGAAGAGGTGGACAAGGTAAGCTACCAGAAATAGCTCTATACATGTGTTTATAACCACTTGTAACAGTTCAGAACTAGAAAAATGACAATCAATTAATACAAGCGTCCAGCCAGTCACATACAGCGTATTGCTGTGATTTAGTGGTCCAGCATTTCTCCAACGCCAAACAAGAGAACTTCACATAACACAAGCCTGAACACAAGCATTAGTACCATTACACTTATTCTGATGTCAGTGCAGAAGCATTGATATGCGTCAGCTTGAATTGTGTCAATATTACTAAACTGGGATGCTGGCCTCTGATCCACAGCACAGCTGAGGACAGGAGGGAGGGGATGGTCCAAATATACCAGATGCTGTGACAGTATATTGATCATCATGACCGATACGATTCAGTGTTGTAGTCATCGCATTGCTATTGCGGTGTGGCTTTCAGAGATTGTGTGACAATGGGGAATGCTACATATTTCTAGTTGTTCTGAGAAAACACAACATACGTCTAAAATTGCAGCTTCCATGGGGATAAAAGTTCTTCATGAGGTATCCTGGATACCTGTCCACAAATTCAGCATTGTCCAAATAGCTCTATTATCTATTACTCATAAAATGTCACTCTCCTGTCATTCTCTCCCCCACGCTTCACAGATGAGTCTCTCCAGTCCCAGGTCTCTCCTCCTCCCCCTGGTGTCTCCTGCTCTCTGCAGTGGCTGATATCTCGGGGGCACCTCCTGGTGGCTTGGCCTATGTCCTTCTCCGCTTGGCTCCACCGGGGCTGGAGGGGTTGCTGCTGGAGTTGAGCACCTTCTCAGTGGCACGGTTCCTCTTCCTCTTGTCTGCTGCCTCCTTCCCTGGGCCGCCCTCAGCGGAACCCTTCTCTCGGTCTCTTTCTCTGTCCTTGTCTTTGCTGACCGCCCTCTCTGTCATCTTCACCGAGGAGTTGCTGCCTGAGAGAGACAAGAAGGAGAGAAAGAGAAGATGAGGGGGAGTTTTCAGGTAAGGGGAGGGAGGTTTTGCAATTGATTGACTGTTTAAAAGATTCTGTATCACTCAGTCCAAGGCATAAAGTGACTGCTACTACTAGGGCCGGGACAATACCAGTATTACAATATTTTTTCCATGGTAAAAATGAAAACACAAAGAAAACCAAACTCTTTGGCCCTTTAAAAACCTGCTGTATGTAAAATATTGTGTGCTATAGCTTGGAAAATAAATAAATGGGACACTGGATGACAACATAATTATATTTGTTTGCAACATTAGTGCTGTTATCCTAAAGAAGTTAAATCTGCTTCGTGTTTTATTTCCTTGCAACGATACTATTGCGATACTGGTATCGTCCCGGCCCTAGCTACTACAGTGACTTGGTAGGGTATGGTGGACTCAAATTAAACCAGTTGTTATTCTAGTGTCAGGCGGTACTGTTTGCTGGGTACATCCATTAACGATATCATGTACAATAGACCAGGGGCATAGTGGTGGATAGAGGACCAGAGTGGAGTTCAACAGAGAGATGACATTCAAATAGTCTTAAGAAAAGGATAGATGATAGAAGAGAGAAAAGGCCGGTTCAAGAGCACTAAGTGATAGCCTCCATTTCCCATCACCACCCATTTGAAGCATGCAATTATATCTTCTGTCTTATGTAATCAAATTCCATCAAAACAAAACAATAAAGAACTATAACAAAAATCGACATGCCATGCTTGAAAATGTCCTCAAAACAAAACAAAAGTTAAAAGGAGAGAAAAAGAGAAACTGAGAAAAATAGAGACGCACATTTTTCTGTGCACTAGGCGGGTGGTCACTCTAAAGAAGCCTCTGGTTATGAGCTGGTCTGTACTGGGGTCAAGCTGGAGTTTTGGAACAGATCGAAAGAGTCCTTCTGTCCATACCTCTCAAAATCCTGGCCAGCAGCCATACTGGGACTCAGACCTTTAAAAACGAGACACAAACGACCAGGGTGAGGGATGTCGCTTTTTGTGCCAGAGGAGAAGAGATGCATGGACTCACGTCAGAGAGAAAGAGGAGAGTAAGAGGGGAGCATAGGAGGTGAAATATAGCTAATGTAATTGAATGAGGGAGAGAACCTTCTTCATGCATGGCTGGGGGGTCTCGATCTTCTTTAAAATCGTCTTTCATGTCGTCCTCGGATACCAGTTTACCTGTTCGAGGCAGAAAGAGAGAGTATGGACTTTCCAGTAGTTCAGCATTTTGGTAAGTTTAGTGGATTCTGAAAAAATAGACTTTACCTTCTTTTACCGCTTCAATAATCTCGTCTGGAAGATTGAAGCTCTTCTCTGAGTTGGGAAACGGCAATATTTCGGACTCATGCTGCAGTGGACAGAATGTGTGACTTTATCATTAGTATTCAGTGTTACATAAAAACAAAGATTATGGCTGACTGTGACTCTATAACAATCTATTACATATGCCAGACAAAGATTATGATGCTCTCCTCACCAAGGCTGACATGTCATACATAGTTCCCAGGTGGTCCCAGATCACCTTTGATGACACTTGCCTCCCAATATTCTGGCTGAATTTATCGCGAATGCAGATCATGTGAAAGTGACGATTTACCCCTGCAGAAAGAAATTCCAGACACAGTGGTAGGTTGACAATCTGATTCAATATTCCATACGCAGACCATTCAAATCCAGTTATAGATCATGACAAAGAACCCTGCATTACCTAAGCTAATTAGGCAATATGTTGCCCAAAAGTAAAACTAGAGATAGCTAGTTTACTTCTTCTGTAGCTAATACAATAAGCTAACGGCAGATTAAAAAAAGATAATGCAATTGATTTTGGCAGAAGAAGGTGTTTGTGTTATGATTTCCAGATGTTTATGTCAGACCGGAAGTTCAATTGGCGCGCTAGCGAACGCTATCTCAGTGAAAACATTTTACCAACAGACTTTGAGACAACAACATGCAGACGTTTAGCTAGCTAGCCAGCAAGCTAAAATGGTCAAGGATTGTGTGAGTTCATTGAGATGTGTCATTGTCTGGCTATGAGTAGATAGCTAGCTGTTAATAGCTGGCTAGCTAACTTGTTGGGGGGTTGTTGTGCTTGTGGATGGCGGGCTCTTGTCTCGTCTTCCGCGTCACGTCTCCACTACAACCTGAGGCTTTCAGGCCTACATGATCAACACACAGCTCGTTAGCTAACGTTTGGTTAGCAAGCTACCATACGATTAGCTAGCTAACTTTATATTCTTACCTACAGGTTTGTGACCTAGCATTGCATGGAACAGGCACACCTCGACTTCTTGACTCCATACCACCGAGTTTTCGATGGGATTGATCCCCGAGTCTGCCTGTTTTTCGTCGGCTGGAACAACCTCGGCTTCCCCCATGCTGTTGTCCTCTTTCAATAACAGAACACTGCAACCAGGACAGAGAACAGCGCCCCTATCACTCTGCTAAAACGGTTAGCCAACTGGGATGCTCTTTCACCCAGATGTTTGATAGAATACTTTGATAGGCTAGCTATAATAATATAGTTTTTGTCATTTATTCTATTGCAGGTGCACAAACTGAGGTAAAGTGGGCCTAAAATGTGTCTCTGTGACTTAGATACACCAGGCTACATTTAGACAGGGCATTCCATATTTGAGGCCCTCCTCGTGCACACAAACTGTGGACTGAGGGCATGTCATGGGTAGCAGCATGCCCCTGCTTACGGTTACAATGTTGCACTGTGTCCAGTCTAGACTCGATACATTGTATCACTCACTTTATTACCAAATGATTGGCTATGGAAAGAAGATAAGGGGCTGCCTGTACAATCCATGTATCACCACAAGAGAGCACTATACGACCTTGCATCTTCTTGCTTCACCAGGCCTATGAGTTTCAGCGCAGTAGAATTAAATACAATGGAATTGACACTATTGAATAGCACGACTCATAATAAGGTAGTATGAGAAAATTACTATTGAACAGAGAAAAAATACTATTGAAAAGAGGACCTGCATGTCAGATGTATTGAATAATGTATAATGATTTAGTCTTAATGCCACATTGCTTTTTATTTTAGATTGATAATTGGCTACATTTCTTAGTTATGTTCATAGAGTAATGTATAGCCTACAAAGAGTAAAGAGTTATGCCAAGTGTAAAATTATCATGAATTCCCAAAGTCTCATGGTTGGCATTAGATAAACTAACAAACAAGGTTAACTTGTAATAGGTTAGGCCTACTATTGCTCAATTGGATATTATACAGTAATACGAGATGACAAGTCATTTATACGGATTATTTTTCACTGTTTCAGCTTTTGACAGTACATTATAATAACACATTAGTTTGTCATGTTCATGGCTCATTCATGGAATTCAGTAACACAAGTTAAAATAGCTCAACATAACTCGGGAGACAGGACAAATCTATGGTAGATAGTAGGCTCTATTCAACAGTTGTATTTATTTCCACTCCCAGATGTAACGCGGCTCTAAATCCCCTGCAGTGCAGTGTGCACAGCTGCGGCTCTAATGTTTTAAAGCCGAGTCAGTGTGGGATTGTGTTTGTGTGATAGCATCGTGCCAAGGGCAGGAAAGGGCAGGCGGGCCCAGACTGAGCGGCGCCGCCGCACACCTGGGGAAGTTCAGGTTAAATAGCCTCACATTCCTCGGCGCACAGCTGATTGAAACATTAACAAACAGTAATCCGTGAGCCAGGCTGCAGATGGGCCGGGATCGCAGCCAAGAAAGGAGACACGCTGTGTGTGTGTGTGTGTGCGCGCGCGCGAGAGAGAGAGAGAGATCATGAATAGTAGGCTAAAGTTAAAATAACTGTGAATATGAGAACATAAATAGTATTGGATAATATTGAAAATGAATAATTCTCATATAGTCTAAAACAAAATAATTCTGTATATATCATGAATATTCATTAACCACTTTTGAGGGCTATGCTGAATGCCTTTGTAGGTTATTTCAATTAGGTGGTTTTATAGTTAAATTATAAGTAGGCCTATAGTGGTACACAACGGTGTAGGTATATTATGGAAACGTCAATAGATTAGTGTATGTTGAATGCTCGCTTATTAATTGTAGAATAGTTTGGATAACATCCAAGTGTTATATGCTGTGTAAATAACTAACATTAAGCTGTGAATTAGTGGAAGTAAAGATCCATCTATTCAATGTGGCGGTGAGTTGTCATAGAATGACATAAATGTTATATTACGCATACTACTATCTTCTGCTTACTTTTTTTTTTTTACTTTAATTATATTGATATTTGTACTGCACTGTTGAGGGAGCTTGCAAGTAAGCATTTCGCTGTACTGTTGATACCTGCTGTGTACGCGACAAATTAAACTTTGATTTGATGTCAATATAGTAATTGTCATCACCTTTATAGTGCATTTTCAATAACGTTGTCATGATTTGGTTGCTTAGTAGATCCAAAGACATGCTTCTGTGAATTGATTGAACTCATTGTAATTTTCCATGCGGGCCAAAACGACATTATATGTGTGGAAATGTAACTAAGTGCTAAAAGTGAATGACCCTCAGTTCAAACCAAGATAGTAGGCTACAGCTATCAACATGTGTGTGTTGTGAATAAACAAGGTTCAAACTCTAAAGAATGAAGAAAAAGGAGCAGGAAACATTCTCATCTACCATATCTGTTTTAATAAAAACACCATAAGTACATTGTTATAAAAACAATATTGGGGATCACATTTGAATCATTGTAATATACAATACAAATATAGCTCAGCAATCTGAGAAATTGACATTTTTTTGCAAAAAAATATATAAATCTTTTCTAGGTATGAATTGAACAAAATACAGAAAATCGAATTCGAACAAGGAATGAAAGATTCTTTCACATAAAGTCCAACATGTATCAACATCTAAGAGCTCGTTGGGTTAGGATGCTTTGTTGTTGATGGTCATCCTCTCAGGTCGACCAGCACACTTGTCTTCATGGCGCGCACCGCTCTTCTTGGTGACAGCAGGACACCTGTGGCTGCTTGGGGACAGCTCCGCTGACCTGACACTTCGTAGTTTCAACTCCTGAATGTCTATCTATGCACATCATGGACTTCCACTGCTGGATGCAATACATAAGATGCGACGAAATGTCATGCATGGCTGGCAACATCGTTCTTCCTTCTGCTAATGATTCGTTCTGTTGCTTCCTTGATCAACGGCAGAGAATTCTGTCATCTGAGCATCCGTTCTGTGAAAAATAAGAGGGATGGATAATGGTAAGTTTTATGACACAGAACTTGATTTTAACTTTGATTTTTACACTTGAATCTGTCACAGGGCTACATGGCAACAATACATTTGCTGTAATTGCTCTGATGGAATTGCTTTGCACACATACCTCCACAGAGATGCTGGCGAGTTCTGCATTGAGGGTTGTCAGAGGGGTGCGGGGTGCACCTGGGATCTGCTGCTTGCCCGGTGTGTCCAGCTCGACCTGCAGGTCCCAGATATAGTCGATGACATGTTGCAGAATCTCCATCTTACTGGCTTTCTTGTTGGCTGGCAGAGTGGGCACCAGCTCCTTTAGCTTGCTGTAGCAGTTGTTCATGTCCTGCAGAAATACACTCATCTGCTCGTCCAACAGTGGGATCTTGCACTTGGAGATGGCCATACTCTGCTCCGAGAGACAACGGACCACGTCCTCGGTGTTTTTCAGGGCGCAGGTAGATCCGACAACTTTCATTTTTTCTTGTTTTGACGTCTTGAAGAGTGGAAAGCAAAACTATAGGCTATATATTGCTGCTACAATATACAACAAAAAATAAGTAAATACCTGCTAATTCTGTTAGTAAAGTTCAGGTGATATCCTCGTGAGCGTTTTCAAGCGTTAAGTTTGTGAAGGATGTGTTCTCGGGCTGAATTTATCTTCCCAGAGGGTTCGGGGAGTGACCAAAGCGGGAAAACGTGAAGGGTTGGACCAATGAGAAACTCCCGACTGCAAGGGAAGGGCGGGCTTCCAGTCCTCTCTCTACCAATAGAGACCGGGTGTTTATCAATCTTTACAATCTGCTAAATGATGTGTTACAAATGGAAACAAATGTGTGTGTTTTTTTCAGGGTGTCCTGTGTGGGAACCCAGCTGTTCGTCGCCCGCGGACTCTGCAGGTGTAGAGACCGCCCAGAGACGTGGGTGGGAGGCATGTTCATGAAGAATGCTGCAATTACTAGATGAATAGGTTTTTAATTGTAGCCTTAACCGCGTAGACCAATCGAACTCAATCATACGGTAAATAGCCAGACCTGTCACAACAATATCGTTTTTTTATTGGTGATTTATTTTTACTTTTTAAATTCCAGTTCATTTATAATCTCGAAGAAATAGAGTAGCCAACCTAAGCATTCTGCTCATCCCAGCTGTGCAGAATCCTTTCCTACCCACAAATCAAAGTGCTTATTTTTTAATTTGCTTATGTAGAAATATGATGTCTTCATCAACTGGAAAAGTGCATAATAATATAAAATGTATTATAAACAAAAATTGCATCATCATATGGCTGTTCAACAAAGCCTACCCAGCTGTGCAGAATCATTTCCTACCACCAAATCAAAGTCCCTATTTTTTAATTTGCTTATGTAGAAATATTATGTTTTCATCAACTGGAAAAGTGCATAATAATATAAAATCTTATTATAAACAAAAGTTACATCATCATATGACCTTTCAACAAAGCTTATCCGATATAGGCAAAGGAATCAACTAAATTGGCAGCTTGATTTTGTAATATTCTATGCAAATTATGACTTGAATTGTAGGATAAAAAAGTTTACATCTATTTAAAATTGCATTTCATTAGAAGAGGAATCTCATGGATCCACATAGCTTAGCCTATGCAATAAATCTCTTTCAATTTACAAATCGCATATTTTATACATTAAGCCCTAAATCCTCCCGCCCCTCTTAAATTAGTCTTCCAATGAATCGTTTTACAGATTCTTTCACATGTTCCCAATGTGCGCTGGGCGGTGTGTGAGTGCAGCATTGAAATAGCATTGCTCTGCTCTGAACTGAATCTTCCCCAGATTGTCCAAACAAGCCGAAGCAGACTGGCAGGCGCCAGTGCCGTGACGTCACCCATTCAAGCAGTCCCTGACGGCTGTCAACCTGGCGCCGCGCGGGCGGTGTCCATGGAGACCGCAAACAACGGGCTTGCACTCCCCCATTCACCTGCGCAGCGCAAACCCTGAGAACTGGCTGCCCAACATCGGCATTCATTTTCATTTATCAAGTTAAACCACTCTGAAGAGATTACCGCCCCACACCTGCAAACTGCCATTGTCACTAGCTTGCTCAAGTTCCAAAGGCTAGTGAAATAAAAAAGACAGGGCTTTCAATTTGCATTGATAGTTCCTGAATTCCTTCAGTTAGGTCCGCCCCTTATTTTTTCTAAGAAAATTCCTTAAGTAGAACGTTGTATCCATGCATAGGCTACATTGTATTTTTCACACATAAAACAAGTTACAATGTTGCTATTTCAGTCTCTCTCTCTCTCTCTCTCTCTCTCTCTCTCTCTCTCTCTCTCTCTCTCTCTCTCTCTCTCTCTCTCTCTCTCTCTCTATGTCTCTGGCTGGCTGTAGAGTCCACCAGAGTGAGATGTCTGCATGATAAAAATAAACTATGTGTATATTGTGCTGAGTATACAACAAATGTGCAATTCATTTGGAGACAGAGAACCAAACAAGAGAAGCCATGAAAATACAAAGTGAAAACTGAGAAAATTGTTAGCATATTGCTTCCTTGAGTAATTCAGCGTGTTAAATACTCAAATAATGCACTGGAAATATGGCATGAGAAACTTTCATTTTTTACCAAAGCACGCCTCCTTATAATGTGCATGTAACTGATTATGCAAGTGTAATTAATATGTCATATTTTCTCCCCTGGACAACCCTCTTTTAAACAAATTCCCTGCTTTTGCTTAAATTAGTTGTGTAAAACTCTTCTTCTTCACCAGCATGCAGAGAGAGCTGTGCCTGAGGAGAGTAACATCCTCTTCTCCCTCCGTCCTCTTTCTCAGGTCATGTTGGGGATGGGGAGCGCCAGTGGTCTGAAACAATGGGAGTGCAGAGCAAGGATTGTGGGGGGAAATCTTGTCTGGAGCCAGTGAGTCTGGAGCGCCCCTCTGCTCTCTCATCCAGCTTTTGTTCAGCTGCAACAGCTATCAGCACTTCCTACTGACACCAACAATAACTCCACACAGCTGGGCCCTTTTAATCTTGTTTACTGCACATCAAGGCGAGGGGGAGGGCCAGGGGAGGGGGACAGAGAAAAGTGAAACAGATTAGATCCTGATTTTAACTGACAGAGAGGAGGTTCTTTCTGTAGTGATTCATTACAACTGGCTACTACTAATTAAGGTGTAAAAATGTTTTCTCGCTCTCTTCTCTCTCACTACCCTGTTGTTGGAGCCTCCCAGAGTTGTTGTGACACAATGTGGTTTGGAAGCAGTTGGTTGTTTGTTGAATTATATGAATTGTCTGTGGTGGAAATGTGGGGAATTGTGGTCTCTCAACCTCTTTATTTCTGATTTTTTTTTTTGACGGAGCAACACCCGGCTGCAGACTGTGGACAGGAAACAGAGAGTGAGAGAAGCTAAAAGCGTCCAGCATGCTTCCCAGCCTAAACAGTTCAGAAAAGTTTGTTAATATATTATGATTACATTTTGTGAGGTTTTGGACTTCGGTGAGGTTTTTTTAAGCTGTTCGGTCACACAAATGTTTTTCTGGAGGCAAGCCGAAGTTCGGAGCCGAAGTCTACGCCCCTTCGTCGGTGATTGGTCAACAGTAGGGATTCTTCATTAAAGTATTTGTTGTCCTTCAACGAGAGACGACTCGTTTTCATGCACATTTTTTCATTGAGAAATACTGCACCAAACATCTTAATTAGATGTAAAACTGCGCTACTAAGATCTCCTCGGCAAAAACTTCAAATTAATGACAGATTTCTTGAGTTATCTTAGATTAATTCAGACTATTTTGAGGAAGTGATTACTGGGTACGGCTTCTCAAAATGGACAAACAGCACTTTTGCAAAAAAAAACGTTTTTCAAGCGAAGGTCTTTTAAGGGAGTATGCGTGCACACTAGTTCGGTTCAGCTAGCCGAGTTCGGCTAGGCGCCAGCCGAACTGAAGCATGCTGACGCCTTAAGCAACAGGGGTTGACGATAAGGAGGAAGGACATTCCAGGAATGTTTTGCCAGTTGCCACCTTCTCCATTCACAGCCATTTGTGTTGGCCCTATCTATTACTTTCACTGTAGTGATACCTTTTATCCACAGCCTTAGTTTGTGTTCATATTTCAGCATAATTTCAATAAATCTAATGAAAGGCAAATTGTTTTTGAATACTGGTGTACTGTAGACTGATGATGCTTTGCTGGTGTAGGAATGTAGAAAGAGGCCCTTCCTGTTGCATAGACTTATCTAGCTCCTTATGTGCTGAGTGACTTGTAGTGGAGTGCTGTGATGGGGGTACAGGCATGGATGTCTGATGTACAAAGTGACATAGTGTAGGGCTGCTGGGGATGAGTGGGTGCTTGAGGTCATACAGTAGTATACACTGAGTATACAAAACATTAACAACACAACTTTGATGGGGGTGGGGGCCACAAAAAATCTGAACTAATCATGAGTGGCCACATGGGGCTGGAGAGAAAATGTTTCAATTGTATTACTAATTTCATGGAATTCTACTCATTTTGACATGGGGCAGAGAGAAAATGTTGCAATTTTATATAAATTTCATGCAATTCTACTCATTTTACCATGGGGTGGAAAGAAACATTTGCAGTTTTACAGCTAATTTCCTGCAATTCTACACATTTTTCCATAGGATGGAGAGAAATGTTTGCAGTTTCTTTATTTTTATTTCTTTATATTATTTTGTTATTATTTTATTGTACTTTTACCCCTTTTTCTCCCCAATTTTGTGATATTAAATTGGTAGTTACAGTCTTGTCCCAACGCTGCAACTCCCCTACGGACTCGGGAGAGGCGAAGGTCGAGAGCCATGCGTCCTCTGAAACACGACCTTGCCAAGCTGCACTGCTTCTTGACACAGCCGCACCAATGTGTCGGAGGAAACACCGTCCAGCTGGCGACCGAGGTCAGCTTGCAGGCGCCCGGCCCGCCACAAGGAGTCGCTAGAGCGCAATGGGACAAGGAAATTCCGGCCGGCCAAGTCCTCCCCTAACCCGGACAATGCTGGGCCAATTGTGCGCCGCCTCATGGGTCTCCCGGTCACGGCCGGCTGTGACACAGCCTGGGATGTTTGCAGTTTCTAATATGATATCTGAGGGAAAGTGACTAACTAAATCAATGGGGCGCCCCCGGTCCGTAATTCAACCATGATTACTACAAGTTTAGATAGCTGGCCGCTAGACTAATGTACCAATCTAAAAAATGTTAGCTGACATGGGCTAATTGAGAGACAGCGAGTGACTGACATAACAGAAAAACTGGTGCACAACCACATTTCAAAATTGCACCTTGTGTATTCTACTGTTATTCTATATACAGTGCATTCGGAAAGTATTCAGACCCCTTCCCTTTTTCCACATTTTGTTATGTTACAGCCTTATTATAAAATTGATTAAATAAATAAAATCCTCATCGGGTTTTTAGATCTTTTGGCAAATTTATACAAAATAAAAAACAGAAAAACCTTATTTACATAAGTATTCAGACCCTTTGCAATGAGACTCAAAATTGAGCTCAGGAGCATCCTGTTTCCATTGATCATCCTTGAGATGTTTCTACAACTTGATTGGAGTCCACCTGTGGTAAATTACATTAATTGGACAT